CCGGGCCCTCGGCCTCCTTGGCGTGCAAACCTGGCTCAGCGGACGGCGAGGCTCGCCCCGTCCCCGCCGAAGAGCTCCCTCTCCGCGGACAGCCAAGACCCGAGGATCTCTCGGCCCGCCCCCGAGCCCCAACTCCGGTCCCCGAGCCCCCGGCCCCGCTCCGCGGCCCGCCATTCAGCCTGTGCGCACGCCTGGCCCTCACCAGGTCGATGTGGGAGAAACCAGTGAGCACGAGGTTCTTGAGGAGCTCGCAGCCGATGCCCCCCGCGCCCACCACCAGGACCCGGCCCCCGGCCACGGCCTCGGCCAGTTCCCGGGGTAGCCCCCGCGACAGTGCCATGGCGGGATGACCACGAGCCGCGGCGGAGGCGGAGGCGGGAGAACTGAGCGGCGGCCGGAAGCGGGTGGGGGAAGGGCGGCCCAACTTCCGGTCCTGCGCACTGTGGCCGCCAGTCGGAACCGAGTAGGCGGTGCCCAGGGACCAAGCAAGCCGGCCCGCGGTCCCGGCCCACGCTGGGCTCTGAGTAGAAGAACCTTACACAACTCCGGCTGTATTTTAAGAGCGCGCATAGCATCTCTATTTGCTTTAAGAAGTTTAGGGGTCGTATTTAGCCTACGGTTTGAACTCCCCGCCAGGACTTCCTTACAGGTTAGAAAACAGGTATCGTCTATGTAAAGAGCGCTTACAAATTAAGAAGGAAAAAGATGTCACCCAAATAAAAAATATAAACAAAGATGTGAACAAGCGCTCCTAAAGAAAACGGACAATGCGATCAATAAGCATACTGAAATTTAATCAAAGGCATGCAAAATAGTATTCAAATTATTTTCACATATTAAACCAGCAAAAAGAAAAAGTGTAACACCATTGTCAAGCACTCCTATACACTGCAGGTAAGGATACTAAAGCAAAGCTTTCTGGAGGGTAAGTTGGCAATACGATTTGAAAAGCCCAAAAATTGTGCATAGTTTTTGACTCATTCATTCCAATTCTAAGAATTTATCCTATGGCAGTTATTCCTGGCTTAAAAAAAATAGATAAGCCATGGAGGTGTTTATCTCAAGAATTAAAAAATGGAAAAAACTGGAACAAATATATTAGATTTTTAATACATATTTTAAAAAAATACTTCGCAGCATTTATGTAATCAAGCAAAGGGCTCTTGTGCCCATAGTGAAGAAACCCAAACTCTTGACAGGGAGAGTTTGCAGCAAGGTAAGGATTTATTGCAGGGCACCAAGCAAGGGAGTGGGAAACAAGCCTCAGTTCCACTCCAACTTGGTCTTTGAGTTAGGGGGCTTTTTAAAGAGGAAGAATAAAGAAGCTAAGATTAATCATCATCTTGTGACATTTCTTAATGGTAGTTTTGAGAGTCAAATTGGTTTAGGATTCTCTGGTCCAAGCATGGCTCAGGTGCTGTTTGTTACTAAATTGGTGCATTGAACCAGTGCTGGCTCCTAGCCTGGGCCAAGACCCCCACCTCGACCAGGGAGGTTCTTTTTCTGACCGGATTCGTGCAGCCAGTAACAAAACGTATGCTGAGACTGGAACAGCACAAGCTTTATCCAATGACCAAGGAATGGAGCAGCAGGGAACTAGTTTGCAAATCAACTTCTCAACCCAGTTGGGGTGGAGACACGAAATATATAGATAGGAGGGTTGAGGTAAAAGGGAGGGAACTGTTAATAGTGGGAGGAAATTTCATGAGTTATCTGAGAACAGGCGTGTGGTTTGGACTCGGAACTGAGGCAACTCTCCTTTCCAGTCCATGTAAAGGCTTTGCTGGTTGTTGTCATGGCAGTTGTTGACTGTCATGGTGCTGGTGGGTGTGTCACTTAGCATTCTGATGTATTACAGTAAGTGTGTAATGAGGCTCAAGGTCTACTGGAAGTCAGATACTATGCCATCTTGGGCCTCGTTGGTTCTAACTGGTTCTTGTTCTTTTTCTTTGTAGCTTCCTCTTGAAACTTAGATAAGAGTCATTGATTTCTATTAGCGGGAGGGGCAGGGGTATGATTCTGGGGGCAACAGCCTCAGTAACATGTTAGCTCATTTTGCTCTCAAGAAACAACCTGAGTTTGTATGTTAATGATATCTATAGTAGCAGTTTTAGTACACTAATGATGTGATGGATAACAGCAGTTTTCAGTCATCGGACTCTGGTTGATTAGCATTCAGTGAACACAGAATGGAGGTCACAGGGGACAAGAAAAGGAACAAGGTTTTGGAGAGATTTATCATAAACATGCTAAGAGAATTTGGGTTTAGAGGGACTCAGTTTCAAAGTATGTCCTAGGAAAATATTGATGGGGAAGTACTCACAATATAACATTAAGTGAAAAAGATGCAAAACCATATATGTAATTAAAATTTGTAAATAAATAAATAAATAAATAATTTTTAAAAAAGAAGGAAGAAAATAACCACGGTTAATATTTTTGGGTTTCTGTGTGTGGTGGAATTGTGGACAATTTTTATTTCTTTACTTAATTTTACTGTATTTCCCAGATGCTCATGCTCCTCAAAGAAAATATGAATTTTAAGATGAGAAAAAAATTAGAAGAAAAAAGGAAAAGATGGTGTGAAAAGCATATCTAAAGAGAGTTGGTATTGCTAAGAGAGATTTCTAAGATGGAGCTGGGAGTCCATTAGGAAGTGTGATTAATGCACAGCACAGCCTGGATAAAATCTGACCTTTTGACCACTTACTGTCCTAATGAAGGCATCCAGAACATTCACCAGAAACTCAAGATACTTATTGCCCTTACCCTAATATAACTCATGACAGCCTATCTATTAGACCCTTACCCTAAAACAACTCGTGACAGCCATCCCTTAAGGACAAATATTTCCTTTCTTGTGTCAGAGTACAGCCTCATAGCTTTAGCCTTTATAAGCCTGTGAATGAAAAATACTGCAAACCGTATCAGTAAACAAAGAATGCTGAAGCCATCAAGACATCAGTGGCTGCTACCACCCCCCAGTGAAGACAAGCCTGCAGCCCAGCCTCTGCAGCCATTCACAACTGTGCCCTCTGAGGGGACTCAGAATAAGAAAGGACAGGATACTGGCCCTAGATAGCTAGATGCTTGTCAAAGGAATGAATTCAATGAGCCCAAATATTTCCTTCCTCCCATACGTAGAAAAGCACTAAATTCTTTAACTTGAGATGCCTGGTTTTCTTTAGATAACAAGTAGTCTTTTATTGTTCCAACTACCCGTTCTTTGTTGTAAAGCTGCTATATATCCTAGCTCCTCCCCTACCTCTGAGCAGTCCCTCAGAGCGATCTGAGAGGCTGTCATCCCAGCTCGAGTCCTCCCGCCAAATAAAACATAACTTTAAGGCTGAGTGTTTATTTCAGTCCACAAGCCTGACACTTCCTCTTCCCTAGAACACTCTTCCCATTTTACCCAAATCTATGTCTCCCCTGAATTGCAATTCTCAAGTCCTCAAATATACTGTTTTTTTTTATTTGCAGCCTTCTGTGTTTTTCTGGCTGACGATGGAAAACAGGGAAATGCCTCTGAATTCTGTGGTCTTTCTCATCAGTTGCTTGGGTCACTAACCATGCATCAAGCCTGGTCTGAGGAGTATTCAGGCTGCTGCCCTGATACATGATGTGAAGGAAGGGCCAGAGTGAGTGCCCAACCATGGTCGGAGTGAGGGGTACCCTGGCATAGTAGGCTGCTAATGTTCCTTCCCTACTATTGGCCTCGCTCTCATAAAGGCTCCCCTGGCAGCCAAAGCTAACAGAGGCCCTCTACTGGAAGCTGACCTTCCTTCTCCCTCTAGACACGCTGTGAATAGGAGCCACCTTCCTTTGCTTCTCTCCGGCCTCCCTCTCCTCTGCCTTTTGCCTGGGCTGCCCTGGGCACCGAACTCACGCTTTGCTTTTCTTTGTTGATTTGTGTGTGTTGTTAAAAACAACAAACAAGCTCAAAATGGAGTCTCTTAAGCTAAGCCCCATGTCACCAAGTTGAGACTTAATTACGGTTCTGGCTCTCCCAGAAATGGAATCTTAAACCATCAATCAGGAATCACCTGATCTGCACTAGTTAGGAAATCTGACATGATCCCTGCCATCCCCTAAAGGAAAGTAAACTTGCAATTACCAACCCCCCTTTTTGCTACTATAACTTTGTTTCTGCCCCATTCTGTGCGTAAAAGTCATTTTGTTCAGCTCCTTGGAGGTCCTTTCTATCTGCTAGATTGGTTGCGGCCTGGTTCCAAATGATTTTTGCTCAAATAAACTCTTATACTTCAGTGTATCTTTTAACAGTATATATGAAGTGTAAAATGCTTTCCCACTTTAACAAACTCAAACAGGATCCAAGTGCAGGAAGAAAACCTGAAAAGCCCCATCCACACTGCACACCTAATCCTATTCCTCAGGGTCTTGCTGGTGTATGTCTAAATCCAGATTTTTTTTACACAGCACTATTCTCAGTTTTACATTTAAATGGGTTCACACTGGACTTATTTTCTACCTTGCTTCCTTAACAATATGTCCAAAACATATTTTTATTGGATCACAGGAATGCACCTGCTAATCTGTACTCCAATTAGATTAAGAGCTGATACAAACGTGTACAACAGGCTCAAGAACATGTCTGGTTCGAAGTACAAGAAGGTGTCTCCACCTTAAAGGCAGAAACATAACGCCTAGCTCAGATATCTGAAAATGTCTCTGCCAACAGTCTACAGCAACCATTCTAACCCATCCTTTCATCAAAGGAGGCTACTCTCTGGCCATTTAAATAAATCCAAAGTGATGCACCTGCAAATCCGAGCAGTCTGTCGTCTTCTCCAGTTGGAGTGAGCGGTCCGCCCATCTGAGGGATTCTCTGTCCACAACAGAAGTGCCACAGGGAAGCTGGTGGCCGCTTCTCCAGCATGACAGAGGAGGAATCAAAGCCTCTCTCTGTAGGTTCATGCTCAGCCTTGGCCCTGCAGATCCAGCGTTCCTGAAATGGCACTGACCAACACCTTCACCTTCTTCTACACAGCCAGCCACTTTCGCTCGGGTGTCCCCTCCTATCCCCAGAAGGGGGGAGGGGGCAGGGCAGCATCATATAGGGTTCTCCCAGTCACACACTGCCCAGGGGAACCAAATCTCATGATAATATGGTCCTAGGTGTTATTTACCAGAGTTTATGTTTATTAACATAAACAAATCAAATTGTTTATGTTAATACCCAGTTTCCTCATCGATGCAGGCAAACAGCAGGTGTGTACACAGATGGTGGGAGCACTTTCACGCTGCTGTCAAAGGGTAGCAGAAAGGAAGCAGCTGATAACACAAAAACTAAATGGAGAAAGGGGACACTGGAGAGGTAGACAGGAGGAACAATGTCCAGAACAGAGAAAGGGCCCCCTTCCTGTGATGCATTAGGGGCAGAAGATGGGAGTGGATGAGGGCGGGAAGCTCGGGTCGGAGAACATGAGGCAGGTCTAAACAGCTCATGTCACACGACAGGAGCCTCAAGCAGCTGGAGCAGGTCCAGTAGTTTGCTCTGACAGCATCCAGGGACAGCAAAGTTGCTGTGAATGCAGAGGCAGCAGGGGTAATACGTGACTGGCTGCTTCTCTGGGCTCTCCAGCTGCTCTCCCTCCTAGAAGGCCCACCAGGCTGCTCACGTAGGATGACCTGCCCTCCGGGTTACAGAGCAGCCACGCTCTGAGCTGCCACTGTGGAGACAGGCCACAGTCAGAAGGTTCTAAGTCCTGGCTCCAGACCCATCATGGGTGCCCAAAAACAAAAAGCGCAACACTTAGAAATAAGAGCTAATAAAGTGTGAGTCAAAACAAGGTAAAAACACAATTTAAACATTAAAATGTGTTTTAATTTCTATAAATAAAAGGAAAAACGCTACTTAAATAATAATTCATCTGGATCTTCTTGTATGATACAAAATTCTTCCATGGGAGTCTGATGATTTTGAGGCCAGCAACTCTTCTCACATGTGTATATTAGAATGGTTCCAAATTCCACAGAAAGACCTGAAAAATACAACATATTTAGGATTCCAGCAATGAGAAAGTATTATGAGAGATACTCAATATTTAAAGTTTGCTTAGTGGGTAGAGCCCACAGTCTGGAACTAGACTGCTTGAGTTCAAATCCCAGCTCTACCACCTTGAGCAAGTGATTTTACCACTATGTAATAATGACTTCTTTGCTCATGATGATAAGATGGTTGCAAGGAGGAGTAAAAAGGCTAATAGATGTAAGATACTTAGAACAGAGCCTGGCACATCTTTAGTGTTCACTGTAAAAGAAAGAGGTTAAGCAATTAGAAGATAATAGAAAAGGAGGGGAGGGTAGAGCTCAGTGGTAGACCACATGCTTATTATCAAGCACAAGGTGCTGGGTTCAATCCCCAGTACCTCCATAACAAATTAATCAAATCAACTGATCAACCAACCTAATTACCCACCCCTCCAAAAAATAGAAAAAGAGACAATAATAGAAAGGAAGGAGAAAGATGGCTCGATATTAGAATCACTGGTATCACTATAGGGAGTGATTTGTACCTTACAAATTTAAAAAATAATTACTTAGAGCAAAGACAGTGCTCACTAGTTTTCAGTCACAATACAGTTGCAGTATTTCCTACAGTAAGTGACCACTGATGGCGAAAAACAGATTTATCAGGCACACATACTTTAAAAATAAACAAAAATCTCAATAAGCCTTCATTACAATTGTCTAGACTATCTGATATTGAAGATTATTTTAAAACATGTTGCACTAACAGAACACACTATCTCTAAGAAAGGATACAGAAAGTAGAAAATACATCCAAAGAATTTATAGAAATTTATCAGTGGATGGAGCCAGGAAGAAAGGCAGCAAAAGAATATGAGCAACAAGAACGCCAGTTGATATCACAACAGGAAAACAAGTCAGCAGGATGAGTTGGGCAACTGGTTTAGAGCAGCAAAGGAAAAATACTTTAAAAAAAATGCAGCACGGATAATGGGAAGAAAACCATCAAAGAAAGTACAAAAAAGCCAAAACAGAGCTGATCTGGGAGAAATAACCTGGTGAATTTGAGGTAATTCCCAACTAGACTGTGCAATGGGCAGTTTGCAGAGGGTATGGAACTCAGTACCAGTAACCAGCAGGAGAGGAAAGGAGGTGCAAGGAAACAGATAGAAGAAGATACCGTGTAGCTGCGTATTATACATGAGCCCGGAGACCCACCACTGCTGGGGGGCGTGAGGAGGGGAAGACGTACGGAGGTCAAAACAGCCCCACTATACAGCTAATATAAAACAAGAAACAGAAAAACAGGTGAAACCTAGCTGAAACCTAATTGTAGAAGGAAAGGCTTGAGAGAATCTCAATGAATGCAGAGGGGAAGGGAGAAGGTGTTATTAGCTTGGATTTGAGAGGCGAAAGAGGACCAAAGCAACTAGTGTAGAAAAGCTACAAATTCAATAGAAAAGATATATTCAGAAACAAAAAGGAAGAAAAACTAGACATGCAGGTTCAAAGACCCATCTTGTCCCATGATAAAAGGATTATAGAGCAATGGGGCAGCAAAACACATGTTAGTTCAGTGACTAGACTTCATGAATAAAGAAAATCCTACCAGCATCTTAACACAAATGGTTAATCACAAAGAGGGGAAATCAGTTCACGCTCAGACTTCTACAAAGCACGGTCAATGCCAAAGGGTATCTATATAATAATGAAAGATCTCAGAGATTTTCACAAAAATATACTTCCCAGTGAGACCTGGCCACAGGAGATGACAGAAAACATCAAATAAAAGGGACAGCGGGGCTCTCACTGCCAGAAGATGACAGCACAGGGGTCTACAAGGTTCTGAAGAAAGAAAATGGGGCTTAAGAACTTAATACTTAAGTTGTCCTTCAAATATAAAGGCAGACTAGCACACTCATTCTGAAGCAAGAACAGCACTTCTGAGCCCGCCTTGAGGCTGTTACTTGATAGAATCCAGCTAGGAGAGAAATGATCAAAATAAAGAACTCACAGGCTAAGCAGAATCATGGTTACAGAATACAGACTTATAAACTGTGATAAAGCAGAAATGATACTAAACTATTTGGAGGTGGAGTAGGGTATACATTTCCTTGTCTAGCATAGTAAGGAGCCAAATGCATACTAACTAAAATTGAAATATGGAATGAATATAATTCTCTTTATTTCACAGGATTTTTTAGAAACTAAGGCTCCTTGAATGAAGAGCCCGTTACACAAAGTCTAGCAACTGCTTCACTTACACTTAATTTTCCTCATGTTAAATTTGCATACATTTGTTCTAATATTTTAATTAGTATTATTAAAATTTTCCCTTAAAAAAATTTTTTTCCTAGTCATCCATCTCTATACAACTTTCTGATTTTTGTCAAGAATGATAACTGGAATCACCCTTATCAATGTGTTAATAATGGAGATTTCCAAGGTTTACCCGATATTTACAGAAAATCTCCAACAGAAAATTCAGGGATCAAAACAAGCAGAGAAAAAAAGATAAATTGCAGGAATTAGACAATGCAGGTACCAAGTGAAAACTTAAAAATAGAACACTTCTCAAAAGTGTTATGAAAGTATACAAAGGAAGATACTGAACTCATAAGACAGAAAAAAAGGTGGTATGAAAAAACTTCAAATAACAAGGTAGAGCTTTTGAAAAATAAAAATGTAACAGCCAAACTAAAATTCAAGCTAGTGGTTAAAAGATAAAACTGACAAAGACACAACGATAAACAGAAGGATCCAGCAGACACACGCTGTATGACTGCATTTGTGTGAAGTTCCAGAACAGGCAAAATTCATATGGGAACAGAGATGAGAATAGTGATGACCTTGGAGAAGGAGGGGCCTACTGACTGGCAAGAGGGCACAAGGGGCCACTGGGACACTGGAAACACTCCCTGTCTTAATCTAGGAGGTGATTACAAGAGTGTGTGTGTGTGTGTGTATACACACACACACATATATATGTATATATATATATATATATATATACATAAATTCATCAAATTGTACACTTAAGATCAGTGCACATTACTGGATGATTTCTTTTTTTAAAAGTACATGGTAAGGATTTTCTGGATATGACACCAAAAGCACAGGCAACAAAAGTAAAAATGGACAAAATAGACTATATCAAAATTAAAAACTTATGTGCATCACAGCACACAATCAACAGTGAAAAGTTAATCTATGGAATGGGAGAAAATATTTGCAAATCATATCTGATAAAGGATCAGTGTCTACAATATATAAAGAGCTCCTACAACTCAACAAAAAACTCCCAAACAACCTCGATTAAGAAATAAACAAAGGACTTGAGTAGACATTTCTCCTAAAATGACATGTAAATGGTTAACAAGCCATTTATATGAAAAGACGCTCAACACAACTAATCATTAGAGAAATGCAAATCAAAACCACAAGATACCATCTCACACCCATTAGGATGGCTACTATTAAAAAAAATAGAAAATGAGTGTTGGGGAGGATATGGAGAAATTGGAACCCTTGAGCACTGTTGACTGGGACGATAAAATGGTGCAGCCACTATGGCAAACAGTTTGGTGGTTTTTCAAAAAATTAAAAATAGAATTACCACATGACGCAGGAATTCTACTTCTGGGTAGCCAAGAAGTGAAAGCAGGATCTTAGAGAGATATTTGCACATCATGTTTAGAGCAGTACCATTCACAATAGCCAAGAGGTAGAAGCAACCCAAGTGTCCATCAACAAATGAATGGATAAACAGCCTTACAAAGGAAGGAAATTCTAACACCTGCTACCATGGATTAATCCAAAGGACACTACGCTAAGTGAAACAAGACAGTAAAAAAAGGACAAACACTGCGATTCTATTTATATGAAGTACCTGGAGTTGTCAAATTTACAGAAACCAGAAGTAAAGTAGTAGTTACTAGAGGTTGTGGGGAGCTGCTTGCCGGGTATGGAATTTACACGGAGTAAAGATTTAAATGTTAAAAAAAAGGCATATCATAGAAGATGGACTTCTAGAAGATGGACTTTTTAATTTAGAATTTTAAAAAGAAAGGAGTGGGGAGGGTGTAGCTCAGTGGTAGAGTGCATGCTTAGCATGCAGGAGAGACCTGGGTTCAATCTTCAATACCTCCATTAATTAAAAAAAGTAATAAAAAGAAAATTAACAACGACAATAAAGACTGAGAGAACCCCATAAATTTTTGAATTGTGAAAACCTAACACAAAACAAAGACAGTTACAAAAAAAGCAGCAAACAAGGAAGATGTAGAATAAATAAATCAGCAAGGAAAATATGAAGGTCTCAAAAAGGGAGGGCTCATAGGATTCATGTGAATAATATTACTAGTAGAAATTCTGGTTTAAAAAATATATGCAACAGGAAAAATTGCAGGTTAATTAATACAGTAAGAGGGCAGAACAAAACTAATGGTTTTCCTTAAAGTATGAATGTTCATTTAAGTTGGCTTAATTACCTCCATTGAACCGAACTGTTATAATTATTGCTTTGTTGTCATAATTGTGACTCCTGTTGTTCTTATAAAAGGATCACCGAAGGCATTATGAGTTTGTGCAACTGCTTACACGGTGTTTTTCTTAATTGACAAATAATTCACATGCCATAAAATTTACCATTTTAAAGTACACAATTCAGTGGTTTTTAGTTTATTCACATAGTTATACAAACATCTCATTATCTAATTCCAGAACATTTTGGTCACTCCAAAAAGATACCCCAAGCCTATACCCATTAGCAGTCACTCCCCATTGTCCCCTGACTCCAGACTCTGGCAAACACTAATCTACTTTCTGTTTCAATGGATTTGCCTATCTTGGGTATTTCGCATAAATGGAATCATAGTAGTTTACAGCTTGTTGTGTCTGACTTCTTTCACTTAGTATGTTTTCAAGGTACAACCATGTTGTGGCGTATATCATGTAGTACTTCATTACTTTTTATGGCAGAATAATACTCCATGGAGATACCACATTTTTT